AAAAAAGAAATAAAGTCTAGTTACTATAAAAAAAATTAGAAACTAGAGACTTCTAAATTAAAATTATATAATTAAGTAATAAGCTAAACTATAAGAAATTAAGACTATTTCTAATTAAATAAAAAGTTTTAAAAGTTAATTATAAACTAAAACTATTAAAAGAAATAAAAAGATATTTAATTTTCTATATAATATTACTTAAACTAATATATAATAATATATTTATAGAAAAGTCTATTATAATTAAATTTAAAAAAGATATTTAAAATATTAAGAAAATTTTTAATTTTATAGAAGATAATAAAGAAGTTAAATATTTAATTAAATAAAAAAATTTTAAATATAATAAAAATATTTAAAAAATTTATTAAATATTTAATAGAAAGCTAATAACTCCTTATTATATTCTACTAGAAGAACTTAGATTAACTAAAGAACCTAAATCTATAAAATTATCCTCTAAACCTAATAAAAACTAGTTAATAAAATTAAAAACCCTAAAAGACTAAAGATCTTCTACTATATAAGATTCCTAGATAGAAAGATAGATACTATCCTCTTTATCTAAACCCTAAATTCCTCTCCTAAATGTCTTTAAACTCTTTACTTTAATATTCTTCTTTAATTAGTAGATATATACTAGATAATTTACTATTATAGATAATTATATTTAAAAAATAAATAATACCTTCTCTACTTTAGCTTCTTCTTTCTCTAGTTTTCTCTATTCTTATAGAAGATAAATAATTAAAAAAGTAGTTAGTAGTTAAGATATAAATTTAAGAGAAGTAGAAACTTATAAGTAGAGGTTATATAAACCCTATTATATAATCTACTTTATTATATATACTTTATATATTAAAAAGATTTTTTATTTATTATATATACTTTACTATTTTTAAAATAATATATATATAGTATTTTAATCTTAATATCTAATAACTTAATTATATTAACTAAATTTAAATAGTTATAAAAAGCTTTAAAATAAAATCTATAAGGATAATTAAATATAGTAATAATTATAATAGGAATATTTTAGTAAGATAAAAAGGAACTTATAAGATAAAAAGCTAATAAATAAAAAGTCTACTTATAGGTTTTTAAAGATAAAAACTAAAAGAGGAGAAATATTATATTATAGCTATATATAATTAAAATAGAAAGCTAGGTAGTTAAAACTAATAGAAAAAGGTAAACTATAAAAGAATATTAAGATTATAGGAAATAATAAATTACTTATACTTATAGTAATCTATAAGTAATCTAGATTATATAAGATTATAGTAAGCTAAAGTAATCTAGAAAGAGTTTAGAAGGGAAATATCTATATAAATTATAGGTTTTACTATATATTTAGTTTATCTTTTAAAACTCTCTAGTAGTTAATTTAAATATAACTATACCCTTATATTTAAATATATACTTCTTATTTATATTTTATAAATACTACTTAACTACCTTACTCTACTACTAATAAATAACTACCTTAATCTTATTACGATTTTAATCTTAATATCTAATAACTTAATTATATTAACTAAATTTAAATAGTTATAAAAAGCTTTAAAATAAAATCTATAAGGATAATTAAATATAGTAATAATTATAATAGGAATATTTTAGTAAGATAAAAAGGAACTTATAAGATAAAAAGCTAATAAATAAAAAGTCTACTTATAGGTTTTTAAAGATAAAAACTAAAAGAGGAGAAATATTATATTATAGCTATATATAATTAAAATAGAAAGCTAGGTAGTTAAAACTAATAGAAAAAGGTAAACTATAAAAGAATATTAAGATTATAGGAAATAATAAATTACTTATACTTATAGTAATCTATAAGTAATCTAGATTATATAAGATTATAGTAAGCTAAAGTAATCTAGAAAGAGTTTAGAAGGGAAATATCTATATAAATTATAGGTTTTACTATATATTTAGTTTATCTTTTAAAACTCTCTAGTAGTTAATTTAAATATAACTATACCCTTATATTTAAATATATACTTCTTATTTATATTTTATAAATACTACTTAACTACCTTACTCTACTACTAATAAATAACTACCTTAATCTTATTACTAGTTATATCTACCTAATACTATTAATAGGTTAGTATTAGGATTATAATATCTAGGATTTCCTCTAACCTATATTTAAATCTACTTTTTTATAAAAAAAATCTTTAGAACTTAAGGAAATATATAATTACTTAGAAAGAGATAGATAAAGAGATTTTTAAAAAGAAACTTATCTATTAAGATTATAAAAGAGAAATCTATTAATTCTATTTATATTAATAATATTATAATTAAAATAATAAAGCTTTAATTTTAATATTTTTAATTACTTAATATTAAAAATATTAAATAAGAAAATAAATAAAATATTAATAAAATAAAAATAATAAAAAATTATATTAATAATAAACTTATTTTTAAAAAAACTAAAAAGTATTTAATTTAAAAAAAATAATTTAGTTTTTAATTATAAATATTATTTCTTAAATATATTTTAACTATTAGCTAAGCTCTTTTTCTATTAGTTATTTTTAAAAGAAAATTAATTTAATAATAATAATTTTCTTTAAATTTAGCTTCTTTTAAAAACTAATACTTTATAATAATTAATAATAAATAAATAATTAATAATATTATTTTAAAATAGTTTAAAAAGATTTTTATTTCTTATATTAAGCTAGCCTATTACTAAAAGGCTTATCTTCTTATTTTAGATAACTATAAAAGCTATATTATAGAGAAATTTATATATAAGTACTTTTAATATAATATCTACCTTCTTTTCTTACTTTTATATATATCCTATATTTTCTAACTATTAGATTTAGTTATATTTAACCCTTTAAAGATAATATATTAAAAGAAAATTAACTTTCTAATCTTAATTATTACTTTTATAATAATAAAAAAAAGAAACTTATTTTTCTATTATTATAAAGTTTAAAATAGTAGCTTAATTAGTAAAAATATTAAAAATAAATTTATAATATCTAAACTTTAACTTATAAATATAGCTAAGCTTTTTCTTAACTTTTTTATTTTTTAAAAACTAATTTTACTATAAAAATAGCTTTCTAAAAATAAAACTTCTATTTTTAAAGCTTCCTAAATATCTATTTTAATTTTCTAATTATTTTTTATAGTTTCTAATAGTTTTATTATAATATAGTTAATATTAAAAAAAACTAAAAATCTTTAAAAATATATATATTAATTTAATCTTATTAATTAATATACTATTATATAATATTAACTATTTTAAAAGATTTTTAAAACCTTTAATAAAAAGAATATCTAATTAGCTATAGCTAAAGCTAGGGTTTAGGCTCTAGAAAGCTAAATTATAGTAATAAAGCTTAAGAAAAGGAAGAAAGTTAAAATAAGTTTTAATTTAAAGTTTACTATTATTAGGGATATATAGAAGTTAATAGAAAATAATTTAGAAGAAGAAACTATTTTTATTAGAAGTAGCGATAGTGAAAGTGATAGTTTAGTAGCTTTATATATTGAAGTAAGATGAAATGTAGAAGAAATAGAAGATGGAAGATGATAGTGGCTATTTAGGCTATTGGAATTTGGGGGGTTAGAAAGTGGGGGGGGTCAGTAAGGGGGGGGTCTAACTTATTGCTTGGACTAAATGTGATGCAAATGAAACTCCTTTACATGTCGTCATGAAAGAAGAAGGGACGAAACTATATAATGGACAACTTTCTACTTTAGCTTGCACTACTGGACAGTGCTGAAGCTCAACATCATCACATTAATCTGTGTTGAACCGTGACGATATTTGTCTTCCAGGCTTCGTTGTCATTCGTTCATTTAACTGCCTTATCCTCAGATGGGAGTTCCTTGGCCACCAAGCCCAATATCATGTTATACTAACTCCCCAAGCACGGGAATTACCCGTCCTCGAAAGACAAGAAATCGCCTAGCTGAGGGGCTACCCGAAGGAGAAACAGGGCAAGTATGAAATACGTTTGTCTTCAAACTGGCAAATCTGATTTTTGTCATCTCACCTGGTATTCGGTGTCATGCCGGGTCATCTTACCTTGATTGCCAGATGTGCCAGTGTTGTCCGATTTTCTTTGTGGGGACCGATGTCAATTGTTGTGTCGATGTTGCCAAAGCCCAAAATTTACCAAATCACGAGGTCTCACAATTAGAGGTTTTCTAGGCACATATTCTTCATCCGTCGTAGGTTCTGGACTCGGAAACCATCAGTGCGTATATCCGAATGGACAGCATGTTGAGAATGGAGGTGTTGGCAGTTTCAGCCAGACCCATCTATTCAGGACTTGCGTAACACTCGAATGCTGTCTCTTGCTAGAGCCAACGAAGAAACCTACCTCCTACCCTCCTGTCATTTGTAGATCATGAGAGCATTGAGAGGCAATGAAGATGGTCGTCATCAACACATTTATCAGTGACAACGCCCGGCTGAGTTGGCCTGCGAGCGCTCCGAAAGGATGACATCAGAACCGTAAGCACATGTAAGAGCTCTGGGCGTAAGCCCTAACAAGGCCTGAAGACATTTGCTTGGGCCGGCGATATTCAAAGTCCGAGCCAAGACATTTCACTGCCGATCAGTTGCCAAGCTTGGGGACAGCGATCTGCTTGTGGGGCAGAAAAACCTTGATGACTTTTGAGTTAGGACAGTTTGGGCTCTGCGTCGTATCTGTGATTTACGCGTCGTTTATCCATTTCGGGCTTCAAGACGCGAGTTACGAAGCATACGATTTTATGCAATTCGCGTTAGACGCATCGCACCGCCACTGTTCAGGAACCCGAATAGTCACTTGAGGCAACTTGCTGCGAGATACGATCTGGTTCAAAACACTAATAATAATTCATGTTGATCTTCAATCGCAGATCGAAAATGACTATATATATGTGCCCATGATACCCTCGAACGCCATTGCTTTACTCGCCATGACTCGCTACGGGCAGCGACACCTCACTCTCCAATACCTTCGGAAATGGCTCGCTTTTGGCTCCTCGGACTAGCCGCTATTGTTGGCTCATTCACGCAGGCCTTGCCAGAGGGCAACTGCCATGCGAAATGTCGTTGTCTCCCATCTCAACCATGCTGGCCCTCAACGGCAGAATGGAAGGCTCTCAACCAATCCGTTCATGGACAACTGGTTCAGGTTATTCCCGTCGGCAACGTTTGCCACGAGCCCACGTTCGATGAAGCACGATGCAATGAATTGCGTTCTGGCCTAACTTACGATGCCCGCTTCAGGAGTGCTGAGCCTGGTATACTATTATCCGCCCGGTCATATTTTGACAAGCACAGATCTAACGCCGTGGGTTTATAGGTGCCGGTTCGTGGTTAAACTGGGAGGCTTGGGAAACCCGAAACGAAACCTGTTATGTCGACAGTGACAAGAGCATCCAGTGCGGACAAGGGCGCGTTTCCCTTTACTCGGTCGCCGTACAGACTCCCGAAGACATCATTGCTGCGCTAAAGTTCGCCAACAAGCATAACATCCGACTCGTCGTCAAGAACAGTGGCCATGACTTTAGCGGCCGTTCGATGGCACCTTTCTCGCTCCAGATCCACACCAAGAAGATGCTAGATATCAAGTACACCGCGGATTTCTCTCTTCGTGGAGCTCCTAGGCAATCGCCCTCCATGGGACCGGCAGTCACCATCGGTGCAGGCGTGAAGCTATTCCAGCTCTACAATTTTTGCCATGAAAAGAACCTTACTTTAATTGCCGGCTTCTCAAGTACCGTTGGAGCTGCGGGAGGGTTCATACAGGGAGGCGGCCATTCGATCCTCAGCCCCTGGAAGGGCTTAGGCTCCGATAACGTCCTTGAATACACGGTCGTGACAGCCAACGTAGGTACACTCCGGGCCCGCTTGTTCTGTCCCGTAACAACTGACATCATCGCAGGGGAAATATCTTTACGTCAACCAATACGAGAATCCTGATCTCTTTTGGGCGCTCCGCGGTGGTGGCGGCGGAACTTTTGGAATCGTCACGAGTGTCACTTTCAAGGCCCACGAGAATCCCCCCATAACTTACTTCCACATGGACATTGCTCGCTCAACAGCCGACGCCAGTTTCTGGAAGTTGATCGAGATTCTCTGGAAGCACTTGCCCGGTCTCAATGACGACTTTGGCGCCTCGCTGTCCTCGGTCATGTTTCCCAGCGCGGCCATGCCTAGCCCGGTGGACGGAGTACCCACGCAACCCCGCGCCCTCGTGAATCTCAAGGGTTTCGCCGTGGGCGCCGCCACTACTGAGTTCCGAGCTGCCTTGTCCGCCCTTGAGGATGAATGGCGTAGCGTCGCTGACAATTCAACCTTGACCTCGCCACGCGATTTCTCCTTCAACGTCACCACCTTCCCCAGCATTACCTCGTTCTACACCTCAGCACTCACCGGGACGGATCGCAGCGGTGCATCGACCATTATCGGCTCCCGCCTCGTATCCCGAGACTTCATCAAGAGTCCCGGGGGCCCAGCAGCAATTGCCGACGCTTTTTCCAAGATCAAAGTGGCTCAGGACGAAGCCATCTCTGGAAACATGGTTGGCGGAGGCGCGGTGGCTGCCACGGGCGAGAAGGAGACTGGAGTCAACCCCGCATGGAGACGGGCTCTGGGCCATATGATGATCGTGCGGGGATGGTACACGGGCACTCCACTTGCTGAACAGCAAGCCATACACGATGAGCTCACGAATGTCCAAGTGCCTATCCTGAAGTCCTTGGCCCTGCCCGGGGAGAAGATGGGCTCGTACCACAATGAGGGGGATGATGCGGAGCCGGATTTCCAGCGGTCGTTCTGGGGCGACAATTACTCCCGTCTCTACAAAATTAAGCAAAAGTGGGACCCTCGAGGCGTGTTTATTGTCCGCAAAGGCGTTGGAAGTGAGGACTGGGATTATGAGGGCATGTGCCGTCTCAAGTAAGGTGGAAAACGATGGATAGATGGGCACTGGGCCTGTCAAAGGGTCTTCTCTCGAGTTGGGAGAGGAGCAGGGACGGCTCAATTCAATCCTTTTCGGGACATTTTAACTTTCTTTTTATTCTTGGCAAAAGTCTTGGGCGCCGAGCTCCATTACCGCTTTGCCATCACCTTTGGCATGTCGAACTGATATAACGGTTCTTTTAATAACACTATAGAGACCTCTCTGCGTTTCCTTGCGTAATAGATAATATCACTGAAGAATTTCCTTTGAATAGCATTCATCGTGCTGCCAGTATAGAACCAGTTTACAGCATAAGGCTAGAGTCTAACTGGGGACTGTGTAATACTAATTGCTCAGAGGATTATACTAATATTTTTGATTTATTCTACGCAAAATCTGAAGCCAGCCCCAAAACAAGAACCGGCTGACATCAGGTCATAGGTCAGTCCATCTTCATCCCCCGAAGCAATGCAATGTGTGACCTCTGTCCGAGGCCAGAAGCTGGGTGCCGAGCAAGTATTCCGAAACTTTTATTTCTAGCTCGTCTGCTGGCTTGTCTCTCTCTCGACATACTGATAACACTTCTCTTATGAGATTGCTAGTATTTCCTGCAACGTCTAAAGGGGGCCCCAAATAAGAAATTCTCGACCTATGCACTTACCTGGAAAGCTCTTTCAAGGTTGTTCACTATTGCATATGGGAAGGGTGAATTTTGCGCACCTCCCCGAGCATTCGGCGAGAGATCAGTTGTAGCCTCTGTGCTAGACGCCGGTGGTTGGAAACCGCGCATGTCACTTACTCCAAGAGAAAATGCGTAATTGCAGTCGAGCTAGATCTCCAACAACGACAAAAAAAAAAAAAAAAAAAAAAAGGCACTTGCAGTCACTGCGGCACTCTCGCTAAAGAATGCAGTAAGTACTTCGTACTTCGCAGTATCCACTCTTTCTTCCGTTGGCGAATTGCATCTCCGTGTAGGAGACTGTCTGTCTTGACTCCCGACCGCCCTTTAGATATCCAACGCCGCCGCCTCCGCTCCCATGGCTGTGGTTAGCTCAGTTCTTGGGTGTCCCTTCCGTGAGTCATTTAGCGCTCATCGTCTATGAAGGGGATTCTTGAGTTGACCTGTGATGACCTGTTTGGGTCAGGTCAGAGAAGCTAATCACGCAATGGGTCCTTGGTACGCGTCGAAGCGCATGTGTGTTGAGCTGGTATGGCAGCGGCCTATTGGTGTTTAATGCCATAGAACCCCAATCAGATCGCATCTTTGGCCTCCAGCCCACAGAGCGCTGTTCTGCCCTTTTTGATAGACTGGCTAAGACAGCATACAACTATAGCTTGCTGCAAAAGAGTCACGTGATCAACTATGCGCTTCCCGATCCCCTGCGCCGATCTCCAGCCCCGCTTTAGCCGAGACAGCGACGGGTTCAGAATGAAACTTTCTCTAGATCCTCAACCCCCAAATTGCGATCAGCCTCGTTTGCCTTGAGAGTCTTGGGCTACTGGCATCCTTGGCTAACTCGTGATTTGGCAGCTGTTACTGATCTGTCGCTGATGTGCCCTGATAGATGCTTCACCTCCCGCCGAGAGCGCGGGCCCGCCGGCAGCCAGCAATGGAAGAACATCAATGTCCCCAATGCTACAAGCTCTATTCGCGTCGCGACCATCTCATCAGGCACATGCGCTCTCATCAATTACAGAGGCCTCTGAGATGCCCTGTATGCGGGAGAGGTTTCTTCAGAAGGTATTTCCCACCTGCAAACGATCCGTTCACGAAGGTGGATTTAGGCTGATTTTGCTAGGGATCTTCTGCTTCGGCACTCTCTCCTCCATAAATCGCCTGAATCCACTCAACCTGCACATGCAGAGGGAGGGCCGACACTTCCACGTACTATCAGCGCGTGCCACGCATGTGCTGTTGCGAAAGCGAAGTGTGGCGATCAAAAGCCCTGCCGCCGGTGTCAAGAACGCGGGATTGAATGCCTAAGAAATCCAAGACACCAGCCTGTGGACGACGCCGACGTTTTCCGTCCCATGACAACCGTAGGGTCAATGAGATCTCATGACTCAACAACGCTGGTCCGAACGGAGATTTCCGACAGTGGTAACATGCAGCTCTTGATGGAAGATCGCTCTGCTCAGATAGCCCGAGAGACCGTGGACGATGCGAATGATGACGACAGTCTAGACTGTTTTCGACAAGATACCTCAGAACTGCAATTCGCAGACGAATATACGATGACAATGCCCATGAGGCGTGGAATACTAGAGTCGAGAAGTGGTGATCTAAATATCATCCAATCAGAGGCATTAATCGACGAAAATTCATTGCTCGTGGATGTCGGATTTGATCAGTCCTTTAATAATCCCAGCCCATTCTTATCAACTATTTTTGGCGGGCATATGGAGGAGGGATCAGGAAGCCTGAATGGCACGGGTGGAACGCAGAACGCGTTCCAGAAATCCCCTCTGTACTCCAGAGGGTATAAAGAGACATGCCTCGCCAACTTCTTCGGCAATTTGATGGTCTTCTCCGAGAGTGAGCACATGAACTCACTGCCTGGAAAGGCGTGGCCCACGGTGCCACAGATCTTTGATCAGAGCATCCGAGACACTTTACTAGCCATCGTTGCCAGAGAGCAAAGATCCGAGGAAATCTTTCCAGGATGTGCCGAATTTCCATCTACTGCATTAATGGATATACTGGCAGACCGATTCCTGAGAAAGCAGAACAGAAAATTGGATTGTTGGATTCATACAGCCACATTTGATCCTCGAAAAGCACCTGCTGATCTCACGTTCATGATCCTTGCGGCCAGCGCTCTTAAGACCCAAGTACCATACCTCCGCCAATGGGCATACCAGGTGTGTCGATTTATAAAAAGGCGACTTTTAATGAGGGTAAGAATCCTACCTCTGCACGTTCATCCGGAACCAAATGCCAACTATGTACTGTCGATAGCTCGAGGACGAAGATGATCCTCTCACAGTGCTGCCCCTACTTCAGGCTCTGCTTATATGCCTCGAGGTTGACTCCTGGAACTGTGACAACTCCTGCCTCTTTTATAGCGGCTCTCTTTCTAATATAATGCTTAGTGTGAGTTGAATCTTACTCTGATGAAGGCCCTATAGAAACCTTGCGATACTAACAAGATCTTCTAGTTTTTGGGAAGGTACTTGAGGTCTGGCCAGTGGTCGTGTGAATCTATTGCACCTGAATATGATGACCAAGGTGCCGAGTTACAGGCCAAATGGGACCAGTGGATAACCTCCGAAGGATTTAAACGGTAAGTCTTATGAAACGTCAGTATCTGACAGCACACTGATATTTTGGCCTTCTACAGCCTCGCAGGACGGTTTTGTACTTTTGAGAACCAGAAAGCAGCAGCCCTCAACACCAGGACGTCAGTAATTAGCTCTGATCTTCGTATTGCTCTACCTCACCCCAGATCTCTGTGGATGGCCAGGACAGCTCCGGAGTGGAAAGAAAGATATCTCGCCACGCGTCCTACAAATTCTCCAACAGTGAACGGGCTTTTGTCCTCATTGCCCACCACTCCATTTCCAAGCGGTTTTTTCGATGAGGCGTTCGCAATGAAACTTTCGGCACACTTCCTCGAAGGCCTCATCGTCGACCACCACCTCCTATCAAGAGTGTTCAGCCGTGCCATTAACGAGGGTGATCCGCAAACCCCAATTTGGAAGAGGGATATCTCGTCGGCTCTGGGAAACCTAAAAAACACGCTGAGGGTGCGGTGCCGGCATAGCCCGGCAACATATGCTCTGTCAATGCTTACAACGTCTTATCTATCCATGATCCTGAGTGTTTTTGTTGATGACTTGGAATTGCTGTTTGGAAAAGATGGTATCGATGAATCACAGAACAAATATCAAAAGATGCAAAACTGGGCGCATGCTGGAGACGCGCGAGAGGCAATCTTGCACGCAGGTCAGATCCTCAGACATTTGAGGTATGTCGAGAGGCCTTTAAGCGGCTTCATAGTCGTTATAGCCTACCAAGCCGGCTTGGTGTTACTGGCTTACTTGCATCTTCGAAATCAAATGGAAGGCATAATTGGGGCTGTTACGGAGGAGGACGATCTGGTCTTGAACGGTGCTGAAGTTCCGCACTCCGGAAGCTTTGTTCAGCATGGTTTGGGGAAGTTGGCCTTGCAATATGATTTCCGGGGCTCTTCCTGTACCGTCTCACCGATGACACCCCAAGTCGTGGTCCAAGTGGTGATGGAGTCACTGTTTGACAGGGGCCTAGATATCGAACACTCACCTCGTTTGCTTACAAGCGGCCTTGTACAGCTGCTAAGGGATATAACGAGCGGGAGAATCCAAGGGGGTAGAGCAGATACTCGGAGGATTTCAAGTCACGGCCTAGGGGAAGAACGTTTCTGAAGGGATGCGACTTGCACGGTAGGACAGAACATTCTCTTTTTCAATTTGGCGTAATATTATGGCGGCGAAAAGTTTGACTTCTCTATGTATTACAGCGAGGTTCTTCAATCATTATCCGATGAAGCTGTTTTCATCCATTCGCCAACCAGATATCCCCAAGCTTCCTCCTCCTCAATTTGCGTTCCTAGAGACAAGGGCGGGCTATGGTGATTATGGCGCTCGAGGACCTTGAGCTCAAGTCGACCTCCAGCATCACTCCAGGGCTTCTTGAAGCCCGTAGCAGCATCGTGCACTGACTCTGGATCGAGTTCGGACACCAACACCAAGATCCGAGGCCACTTCTCCACGAGTGACGGGTTGGTTTGTCTTAACATCCCGTGCATCAACGATGTCGGTTGTTTCATCCTTGACTCGTTTGCCTTTCCGTAATACGGCTCAAATAGAGCCTCGAGGTCGGGTGTCAGGCTCAGTGGAGTGCTTAAGAAGATTGCACCGGCTAATTTGGGACCCTTTGTGCCCGAAATAAGCACATTTCTTCGGTCTTGAAAGTCCTCGGCGAACATCCAAGTTGCGATGTGCGACCCACCAGCGGAGTG